CAATCTGATTTCGATATTGCCCATCTGGTAATTTCCATGTATAGAGTCGCCTCTTGTGTTGTTGGAAAAGAGTGTTTGTGATGACCAGCTTGTTCTCTTGACAAAACTCTTTTAGCCTTTGCCTGCTTCATTTCGAACTCCAAGGCCAAACTTACCTGTTGTTCCTTTTATCTCTTGACTCCCTACTTTAGCATTCCAATCCCCTATAATGAGAAGAACATCTTTGTTTGGTGTCAGTTCTAGGTGGTGGTGTAAGTCTTCATAAAATTGGTCAGTTTCAGCCTCTTCAGCATCGGTGGTTGGTGCATAAACTTGGATTACTGTGATGTTGAAAGGTCTGCCTTGGATTCATATTGAAATCATTCTGTCTTTTTTGAGATTGTATCCCAGGACAGCCGTTCCCACCCTTTTGCTGACTATGAGGGCTGCTACTCCATTTCTTCTACAGGATCCTTACCCACAGTAGTAGATATGATAATCATCTGAATTGAATTTGCCTATTCCCATCCATTTTAGTTTACTGATGGCCAGAATGTCAATGTTGATTCTTGCCATCTCCTGTTTGACCACACCCAGCTTACCAAGGTTCATAGATCTTACATTCCAGGTTCCTATGCAGTATTTTTCTTTGCAGCATTCTTTCCTTTCACTTCCATACACATCCGGGCTTTGGCCCAAACACTTCATTAGCTCTGGAACTACTCATACTTGTCCTCCGCTCTTCCTCTGTAACATGCTGGACGCCTTCCGACCTGAGGGGCCCATCTTCCAGTGTCATATCATTTAGCCTTTTGTTTCTGTCCATGGAGTTTTCTTGGCAAAGATACTGGAGTGGCTTGCCAGTTCCTGCTCCAGGTGGATCGCGTTTGGTCAGAACTCTCCACTATGACCTGTCCATCTTGGGTGTCCCTGTGCGGCATAGCCCATAGCTTCTCTGAGTTACTCAAGCCCCTTCGCCACAACAAGGCAGCAATCCGTGAAGGGAACCACACTCTTAGTATACAATATTTTATAGAGAAGTAGCATTGTTGGTCTGTTTGAGCAACAACAAAAGGAAGAAAAAAGTACTATGGTATCTTGAAGATCAAAAAATTTATTTCATTGTGGTGTTTTGTATCTGAAGAAAGAGGTTGTTATCCACAGAAGGCCCCATAGAAATTAATTTATTATTCTGAAAGGTATCCATTTTGTGTTGTGAGGACAGGCTACCTTCTTACATTCCTTTGATTTCATTACATATTCAAGAGTTGTCCTAAGAAGCTAACTTGGCTCTGTTGTTTTTTTCCCCTCCCAGACAAATCTACAAGATAACCGCAGTATGATTTTGGTTAGTCAAGGGGCTGAGATAATCCGTATGAAAAAAGAGAAGATTGAGGAATTTTCTGATGATGCCACACTCACAAAATTGAACAACTTGAAGATTAAATATCCAAGGTATGTGTGACTCAACTATAGGAGCAATCTAGATTCAGGGGGCACAATCTGCTAGATTGAGAGGGGTGTGTGTGTGTGTGTGGGGGGCCTTCCTGGGCCTTCTTGGTGGTTGTGCCCCATATCTGCAATGAATTGCCAACTGAAATTCGCCTGGCCCCTTCTTTGCCATCTTTCAAGAAACACATCTGTTTCATCAGGCTTTTCAACATGTGCTAGTTTAAGAATTTGTTGTCTTTCAGCCTTTTATTCAACTGTCACCAGTTTTTGATGTATTTAATTTATTTAATGTGTTTGATTGTGTTGTTTTTATGTCTTGCAATTGTTCTAAAGCATCCAGAGTAACTATTGGTTAGATCAGTGATTGACTGATTGATTGGTTGGTTGATTGATTGATTTAAATCAATCAATCAATCAGCGATATAACAAACGAGACTTGTGACACAGTACTGCAGTCAAAGACCCTGTGTATGACCTGAGTTTGATCCTGATGGGCTTAGGTAGCTGGCTCAGGGTTGACTCGGCTTTCCATCCTTCTGAGGTCAGTATGTTGAGTACCTAGCTCGCAGAGCGGGGGAGGGCAATGCGTAGCCAGCACAATTAAATTGTAAAATCCCCTAGAGAGTGCTTTAAGCAGCACACTCTACAATGCAGTGAACAATTTGGAAAAATGTCTCTTTTTGACTACAGTTTTTAGACTATCTCAGCCAAAGTAGCTAGTGGCCATGCTTATTTATACTTAAATAGAGTGTCCAGAATTTACAAGATCTTGTGAATCCAGTCAAAAGCAAGGGAGAGAGTTCATATGTCTCTGCTTGTATGTGAGACCCTAGGAAAAGAAGAGGTACATTTGTTTACGTACAATATTTTGGTTATTACAGAGACAGTTTCTGATTTCTGTATAATGGCTCTCATTACCTCCCCTGAAGAAAAGTGAGAGCTGCCTGTAGAAATCAATTGAGATCTCACTAGGATTTTAGAATTGTATGATAGCTCAGTGCTTTAGGTATCTAACTGTGAAGCCAGAGGATGGGAGTTTGATTCCCCACTGTGCCTCTTGGAGAAGGGCCAGCCAAGTTGCAGAGTCCCAGGGAGACTCCAGAAGAAGGGAATGCTAAACTATGTACTTCTGAGTATTCTCTACCTAGAACATTCTGAAAAGGATTGCCCTAAGTCAAAATTCTTTTTATGACGCACAATTGTTATGTGTTCCAGTCTTTGTCCTGTTTGTTTTGAGGAACACATGCTTCTGCACATGCTTGTGTTCTTGTTGGGTCTGCAAGTTTTGTTGGTTATGCTAGTGTAGGACTGATGGGAGTTGGAGTCTAAAAATAATGGGAGGGTCACGCTTTCCATTTCCCTGATCTAAAGGACTTTTCCCACCTGGGGTGGCTGCATGAGAAGAAAGACAAGTTTCCTGTAGCTTTAATTGTTGTATGGAAGAAAGAATTTCAACAGATGTAGTTTCCATGGAAAATTATACCTGCTGAAACTTTTGTCTCCTTCACAAAGATTAAAAGCATAGGAATCCTGTTCCCTTTTTCATGTGAGCGTACAGTTTGTATAATGGTTGTGCATACATGCTACATTGTTGTCTACAATACAAGCTAGCTGGACAACCGGAACGGTGAAGAGGTTAAACAAGGGGGTTCAAAAGGAATAAAGGCAGACCAGTTTGGTTTCTAGCTTTCTAGAACAGTTGAGCAGTGAGAATGGGGTGTGGATATATATTTTGCAACTTTGTGTAAGGTCCAGAGAAAAAATATTTCGACACTTGCATGTAAGCCATTGAAAATGTCCCAGTGAAGCTCTGGTTTATGAAGAATTTAATTCTAGATGTTGCCTTGATCTTGCAGCGATGACGAGCTATGTCAAGTCTTCCTCCGGCAGAACTCTTGGGAAATGTTCAAGAAAGATCTGCTGAACCTTGTGATTCAGCCCAAGCTCTCAAAGATGGTACATCCTCCCCATCCGTGCCCCACAGAGGAAATCTACAGCACTTGGTGCATGAATCAAGCAGGTATCTTAGACCTCTCTGCCTTGCGCCAGAAAAAGGAGCCTCCACCGGAGATGTGCAGATATGTCCCTGTCTATATGGGCCATGCAAAAGAGACCTTACCACTGATTCAGCCAAAACTGATTCATGGCATCAACGTATTGCGTTCGAATTTGGATGGAGCATTTTAGTGAGTTCCCTGGTTCAGAAGAACCAGATCAACAGGATAGGGAGAATTCTGAAAGGGAATAGGTGCAGACATGTAACGTCAACAAACTACTTTTTAAATACTGAAGTAAGAGAAAGTAACTTTGCAAGCTCTGCATATGAGAATCAGCTCACTTGTGCTAGGACCTTGTTTCTCAATCCTTTTTGAGTCGCAACCCCCTTTTAAAATAGCCAAGTAACCCGGGACCTCCCTCATTATATTTGAATTAAAAGGCATTTTTAAAGGGGTTAAAAATACCCATAGTAAAAATTGATTTTTTTTTCAGATTATACGTAATTCTAACCTAATATTTAATGCAATGGTTGTACTTGCATCTGGGAAACCAGTTTCAACATTCCTGACTGAGTGTTTGTCAAAGCCCCCCCCCCCCGGACAGATTCTTAATGGACTCGAGGAGGTAGAGGTAACAAGGCTGGGTAAAAATTCACTTTTACTGGGGGAGGCAAGATTTCCCTCAGAAAGGTTTGTACTTGCATCTGGGCAACCAGTTTCAACATTCCGGACTGAGTGTTTGTCAAAGCCACCCCCCACCCCACCCCCAACAGACTCTTAATGGACTCCAGGAGGTAGAGGTAACAAGGCTGGGTTAAAATTCAGTTTTACTGAGGGAGGCAAGATTTCCCTCAGAAAGGGAACTGTTGACCTTTATATCCTCCCTTCAAGCGACGGCTCCACTTCTGCCGCCTCCTTAGCTGCCTCCCTAAGATGGGGGTAGGTGAAGAGGGGGGGTGAAATAACTTCCACAGTGGCAGCCTTTCCTCCTCCACCACCCTTTCTCCCCCTCCAGCCTGCTGCCGCCTCCTCCCCTCTCAACCCCCATCGTGGCTGACCTGGTTCACAGGGACTCTAGTCAGGTTCCTCTTCCTACTCCTTTCTGTCCTGGTCCCCCATCTGAGCCAGCCAGCCAACCAGCCGAGCTGAGGAGGAGCAAAGAGAGCTTGGGTTGGGGGGGTACAAGTGAAGGAAGGGGCGGAGCGCATGTAGAAGGGTACCGGGGAGGGGGATGCAGATCAAGGGCAACAAGGACCTCCCTGAAAACATTTGCAACCTCCCCTTCGGGGTCACAACCTACAGGTTAGGAACCTGTGTGCTAGGATATCTGTTAATGACCACTGTTAACACAATGTTCAGCGTCTGTGCTTTGTATATTTAATTGTATATTTAAATTGTCTTCCACCCCACTGATAATTACATTCTTGATTCACACATGTGTATGATAATCTGTCAATGGAGGCAAAATTACGTGTGTCTGATGAAGTGATGAGTGGATTGCAACGCATGAAACCTTATGCCAAATAAAAGTTGTTACTTTTTAAGCAAAGACAAGTCTTTTTGTTGTTGTTGTTGTTGTTTCCTAACATTGATTCACACGAATGGAAAAGGCTGCTTCACAGTTGCTCTAAACAATGCATTTCATACATAAATATGTGTTAAAAACATCCATTAATTTGGCAATGTTTATGAATGATTAATATTTATATTAGGCTAATACAATCTGAGTCTTTTATGTCAGCTACACAGATGCACCCACCTAAAGTACTGGACATTTGGACACTTTAAAAAACTTTGGATTAGTTTTCTGTTTTATCACTTCTGTCCTACTTCAGAAGCTGTTTCTTTCAGGTCGGGTGTATTTTGTGCTGCCTGTTTATAGGATGAAAACAATCCTCCTTTGTTTGTGACCTTTTAATTGCTTACACAGCCACCTTTCCAAGGCAAAAGATTATGAGGGCAAAATGAGTGCACAGCAGCTGAAAGCCTTTCACTGTAGACTGAAATAAGTATTTCTTGCTGCTAAGAAAGCAGCTGAATAAAGAAGATGGCTTTTTAAAAAAATATATATATAATCAATGTATGCTGCTTTTTCAGCATCTGGCTTTTGCAAGAAAGCAGCTGAATAAAGAAGATGGCTTCTTTTAAAAATATAATCAATATATGCTTCTTTCTCAGCATCTGGCTTTTGCAGAGGTGGTGGGCAAGGAATGGTTAACAGAAGACACAAAGGGTCATGCTGATTCAGAACTGCATTCTATTTACATACTGGCCATCAATTTGCTCAGGGGAAGTCCACAAACTGGACAGGAGACGTCCCACCCCTAATCCTTAGTAACTAACACATACAAACATGCTTTTCAGAGGATTGTGGGTTAAGGCAAGATGGAGGCCCTCTACCCCATTTCTCCTGAAGTAGGCAGCCAGAAAGTTGTGTATTCATGGCTGCTTCCTCCCTTCCCACATTTATTTTTTGTTTGGGTTGACTGGCCATAAAGCCACCTGGTACTCTTCAGGGTGTCCAGTCCAACTTGGGTGTGTGTGTCTAGTAGTCTTCCTTGACTAAAAAGTCTTGAAAAGAACAAAAAAATACTGTCCCACGATAGCAGGAGTGGGGAAGCTTTGGCTCTCCAGAGGTGTTACAACTCCTGCAGTCCTTACTGCTAACTACTACGGGTGTTGATATGAATAAGAGTTACACGTGAAAATACAGTATCTTAAAGACCAATGATTGCCTTGCTTTAAACACTGACAATTTAAAATTATTTATTTATTTATTTTTGCAGAAGCTGCAATAATCATCAATTTGATAATGTTTTACCTTTGGCTCCAACCAGATACTTTCTACACAAAATGTTATAAAAATAGGTTTTCTATGCATTCTAGTCAAAAACAAGAGAAAAGTAATACAAAATAACAAATAAAAAGAACAAAACCATTGTGGCGCCTTTTTTTAATCTGATCTTTCATGCTTTCACTTAATGTTCAGGCAAAAATTATTTTTTGGAAGTACTGATGGTGTTTTCAGCTTTTCTATTTCAGATGCATTTGAGCAGGCACAAAAAATATACCACACTGAATTAAATGGGGCCTGCTCCCAAGAAAAGTTGCATATATTTTGTATTCCAATTTTATCCATGCTTCTTCAAAAGCAGGTCCCACTTACCTTTATGGGACTAACTTCAAATGTTTGTGCTTATAATAACCACGTTGTTTTTTAAATCTGTTATGGGGATCTGAGTCTGTTTTAACACCAAGAAACAAACAAACAAAAAACAAAAAAAAAAGAGAAAAAGGGGGGGAGAAAAAGGGGGAAATGTCCTTGCACAAATTTCGATACCAGCCATGGAAAATAACTTAAGTTGATCATAGGGCTCTTTTCTTTCTTTGTTGGATTACAGAAAATATGCTTGGTCAGCTCATATTTGCAACCAGAGTGGATGATTTATTTATTTTATTTGTAGGCTGCCTTTCTCTGGGAGACGGGACTCAAGGTGGCTCACAATGCTAAAGCACAATAAATTACTGATTAAAAAGCAGTTCAACTATGCTACTAACTAAAAGCCATTAAATAATTTCAAAACATTTAGGAATATAAAATCAGACTTTAAAATGGAAAAGACCAGCACCCAGGACTAGTTACAGTTTTTTAAAAACTATAACTGAGTTATGGTACCTGATGAGGGTGGCCTTCTACAGCTGGAGGAAAGATTAAAAGGAAGGGGCAAATCTTGCTCTTGCATACAACAAACTGGGACCAGCCACAGAGAAGACTGTCTCTCATGTCCCCATATACTATTACTCAAGAAGAAAGGTTTCCCCTAAGTACCCTTTCTTCCTCTGCTAGGTAATGTCCTCAAATTGGCCCTACTTGGTATCTTTTTTTACCTAGTGTGGCAACTACATTGACTCTCCAACTCTTTTTTATGGGAATTGCCATGTTTCGGTGTGCCTGTGGCCCTCTGATCAAGCCACATAAGAGCGCAATGTTTGGATACAAGTCAATGGAGAATGTATCACCTGACTGACCCTTTGTCCAGGGATAGGGAAAGACGTTGCCTGAGGGGAAATCTGATACCTTAACATAGATGCTGACACTATAACATTTGGTCAAAATGGTTTTTGGACTATTCTCTCTCGCCACCTGTCTCATATTCTACAGCACCCACCAAAAACAATGGTCCCGCTGGACTTGGAACCTCAACTGTGTTTAGTATTTTAGATGGGCAATGATTACGTATATTCCTCATACATGTGTTTTAAGATAGTAAAAGACTATCTTAAGACAGCCAGAACATTACTGCAATCCCACTTCCACAGCAGGTGATCCGCATTCTTATTTTTGCTATGTATTTTAAACAGTGATTTTTAGGCATTCCTCCATAAAATTGAAATTGTTATCTATCATTGCTTCCATTTTCATTTATATTTAAATATTATAGTCTATTAGTTTAACCACCAAATATGCTTATGAAACCTAATGTCGCCTTTCTTTCCTTGTTTGTTTAAAACTACAGTATTCTATCATTGCTTCCATTTTCATTTATATTTAAATATTATAGTCTATTAGTTTAACCACCAAATATGCTTATGAAACCTAATGTCGCCCTTCTTTCCTTGTTTGTTTAAAACTATTTGTGTTGAGATAGCATGTAGTGAAAAATAGAAGCTTTTAAGCTGCAAACCACCCTGAGTGATAAATAAAAGTCGTTCTGAACTTTACTAAATCAGTAAATTTATTTTTTTTAAAAAGTGTTGCTGCACTTTCCAGACTGATAAGTTCTCATGGACTGTAGCCAACTCTATCAAAGCCGAATAAATCTTATTCATGCAAAAATCACTCTCGGGAAACTCAATCACGTTTTTTTTGCAAGAACCGCCTCAACAGTTCCGACAAGTAGTACATATTTCTTTGTCCAATCCCAGAGCCTTCCGGCTTCCGCCTGCACGAACGCTTCCAATAAAAAGAAAAGGTAGGCGGGGGTAGTGAGAAACATGTTGCACTGAGTCAAGATGGCTACGAGACTCCCAGTCCAGAAGAGGTAGCCTGTTTTGTGTCATCTTTGTGCGCCTGGAAACGGGGAAAGCGCAGGGCGCTCCGATGACGACAGAGGCAGCGAGCGGGGCTCGGGAGGTTGCGCTGGAATGTGGGCGGGGCAGCGGAGCGGGCGATGTGGCTTCCTATTTGCCAACAGCGGCGGCTGCACCAGCGGAGCCGGACTGGTGATCGGAGCTGCCCGTCGGCTTCTGTGCTGGGGCTTCTCTCCTTGGGGCGCCCCTGGGTAAGTGCCTTGGGATCAAAGGGGGGCGGCGCCCCCCCCCCCGCCGGGCATAGCGCGCAAGGGGCAGGGTGTTCTCCAGGATGGTGAGCTGGAAGGGCAGATAGATAGATGGTGCGGGGTGGGGTAATGGGGAAGATTGCTGGAGGGAATCATGACTGCTTATAGGCTAGATGCTTCTGCTAGCATCTGCAGCTTAAATCTTGAAACCTCTTCAACCATGATGGAACTTTGGGGACATTTTTTATTACTTCCCTTAATAAGATTGAGAAAGGGAAGGAACTGGTAAGGAGATCTTTATGTGTGCAGACCTAAATGGATCAGCCATGACTATAGAGTTGTTTGCATCTGGGTTTAGACCTCTCAGAAAGATGGGCATTCAAATTTGGAGCCCACATCATTCCCATTGATAGTCTCAATCACTGCACACGGTATAGCGGATTGTGCCGGGGTGGGGGGGAGATCTGGTAACAACAGTGAGATTAAGGGGGGGGGAAGAAATCTATATATGGTAGGAGGAATAACATTGGAAGGATAAAGGGGCGCTGAGTTTATTGACTTTTCAGAACAAGAAGAGTGCAGCTCTCCTGGCGACACTCGTTACTTTTTGCAAGCAACCTGTGTATCCCTCTTCACTTTTTAATAGTCTGACGCTCATCTACCTGTTCTGTTAGTGTCTGTGTACATAACTGGTTTTAGCTTTAAATATTGTCCTTTAATGATGTGAGCCACGGGTTAAAAATACGTTAAATAAATAATCAGTAAAAATAACAAGGAAGTATTCCCCCTGACACTTCAACAGAAGGGGAAACCACTCTGCTCAGTGTGTACTGACCTCTCTGAGATCAGCTGCTTTTTTTTACATATTTTTCTGAATGAGGTCTTTTATACTTTTTTTGGTATGTTCTTGGGAAAATAAAGCAAGTCAATGGATTCACTACCTCATACATCTGAAGTACAGCAACATTTTGAACGCAGAAGTTCAATACAATATGTGATTTCTTGTGCTTTTGAGGAAAGTTTTTATTTTTACAGGTCGTCTTGTCAATGCTGCTTCCCCCTCCCCCCCTTTTTTTGGGTACAGGGCATTCAGTAGCATTTAAAACAGCTATTTGCTATTCAGTTTGTCACTTGAGTGGATGATGATGACTCATATGGCATTTTAGTAAAATTTTATTAATCAGACAACAAGAATAGTTTCTAGAATCTCCCATGATCCTTGTATTGTGGATTTATAAGTTTTATATTCTTGATCGTTACGCACACAGCATAGTCCAGAAGGCTTATTTTTACTTTTGGAGATTAATTCTGAAGTTCCATTGATGAACTAGGAGAGGGCAGATGGGTTGTCTTTAGCCCTCTGATCTGTGCAACTGTATTAAAGAAACTCATCTTCTTTCTCTTTGATTTAATCTAGAAACTAAGGAAGGCATTTTGGTGTACTGAAAGAAACATGGTAGGATCTTGAGTATATGGTGCTTCACAGCAGACGAAGAGGGAGAGAACAATGGCGTCCAGAGAGAGGCTATATGAACTTTGGATGCTCTATTGCAATAAGGTAACTTTTAGAAAATAAGTTATATTTGCATGAATTGAAGAGATTTTATGGAAACCAAATGCCTCAGACAGTTTTCTTAACAGAAGTATAGCTGACCGAAATAGTGGATGTTCTTCTGTTTTCCACATCCAACAAACCAAAAACAGTTGACATTACATGGTTTTACAAAAAGCCCCCTGATGTTTGCTTAATGCAGTTCATCTTTCCGTGTTCACCTAGCATGTTTTCAAGCATATACTTGAGACTTAAAGCATGTATATGATGAGCATTGTATTGGGAGTGCTCACTATGAAGCAATGACTAAAATGTTTTATGTATCTGTTGGTAAACCCAGACTTACCATTACATAAAATGAGAAATACTGTAGTTCTCAGGCTCATGTAAAGTGATGGATTGTTGTAAATCCAACAATGGATTGTTGCTTTGATGGATTGAAGAAATTGTATGTTACTATTATTGTCTGAAGTTTGTGGAATGATAAATTTTCTTGTTATAATCTAATATACTTCTTTATTTCTCATCTTGATCTTAGCTTTATTAGAAGCACTGCTTGTTCAGCAGTTTTATTGCATGGAATGCTTGGCATTTTTTGTTGTGTGTTTTTTTATTACTATGCCAAGAAGAATATGTAAAAATGTTCCTCTGAACTGTAATGTTTGGTGTTGCAGATTTCCCCCCCTTGTTACTTAAACTAGCAAACTGTTGAAATACAAATGTCTTATTGTTTGGCCTAGAAGCTTTTTATTGCTAAGCTAATTAAGCCTTTCTTCTTTATAGGAATAAATACTTGATAGTATGATGTTAAAAAGGCAGAGGTCAAAAATTCTGAGTGGAAAGATTTTAGGTGGTACCTACCTAACATTTAACTAGCATTAAATTATTATTGCAGTAATTTCTAACTTTTGTTCCTAGGAGTATTTTCTGCCTAATCCCCCACGTGAATAATATCTTTGTGATTGGAGTGGCTTTGTAATAGAAATATTATAATGTGTACACAGGATATGAGGTTGAAACAGGGTGCATGTTGCGGAGAACAAGATTGTCAAGTATCTGAATGTGGTGGCATTTAAGTCAGGTGCTTGGTAGTGTGATAGGAGAAGAATGAGCTACAACAGACAACAATTAAAAACTGTCTATATCAAACATTGTGGGTATGTGTGCAAGAAGGTTGTAACTTTTGACCACTGACACCCATTCCAAGCCAGAAAAGTTCTGAGGTTTTTGTAAGAAGCCCAGTCTTTGACATACCATCCTGTTTACTTCATAAAGGCTAGCAGTTGATCTTACTTTGACAACGAAGATGGGATAACATTATCCATTCCACCTGAAGGCCACAAGATAGCTTAGGGGCATGTAAGGCTGATTAGCTTAGGCCAAGAAAGTTGAAGAGCCAGGATTGTGTTTTTACACCCTCATATTATTCTGTAAATTCTGCCAGAGGCATCTCTTTCCCTTTGCTCAATAATAGGGCTGGCCCAGTCATCTCCTGCCTGCCTTTTGCAAAACCAGTGCTGGATTCCACATGTTTGGGAATTTGTTTACAAAGTTGCTGTAAGGGTGGTTGAGAAGTCTAGGAGGCTGCTTGGAAACTCTGGCTCATTAAACTGCAGTGAACATGAGTTGATTACTTCTTGCTCAAATCTGTTAAAGTTGTTTTGTTCTTGGAGTTGATACCATGCCTTGTCATTTGGAGGGACACAGCAAGTTTAGAGGGGAGAGGCAAGGAGACCTGAAACATCCTGTGTGGCTGCAGTGTATATTGTAACATTGTGAACAAAGATTAACTTCATTGCAGAAAGCCAGTAAAATTGAAAAACGACATTGCTTATCAACCTCGTGTAATGCCTACTTGAAGAGCTGCTTAGTAAAGTATTTACATCAGTGGTTCCCAGATGTCTCTGGAGTACATCTCACATCATCCCAGCTCCAGTATCTGCTCACTGGGATAAGTGAGAAATTGAGAAGTCCATGAACATCAGGGGGACATGTTTGGGAGCCATGCCCTTCTATCTCAATGTGTGCAGGTTATTTTAAGGATCAAGAATGGCATTCTTATGGTGCAGCTCTCTGTGCATGTACTTGAAAGGAAGAACTATATGTTTGCTGGTAGCCTATTCTTTAGTATGGGCATTTTAGAATAGCAATCTTGATGTTAAGTGGTACTAAATGAACAAAAATGCATTTTTGTCATAAAAAGTTTGAAAGAATTTCAAATAATTTACACAAGATGGTTAAATAGACTCTACTTCACAGTTCTGAAAAAGTAAAAGCCACGTGCTAAGGAAAGCAGTTAGTTGCACATGATGTATAGGTTACAAAAGTAGGTTAAGGTGACTTTTTTTTTTACAATTTGAACCAGCATCTGTTGGATGGAATACATTAACTTTAGAGTCTAAAAGCCCAACAGGCAAAAACTAGTGCTCTTAAAACTTTGATCTACAAGTGATTTATAGCTCTTTTGAAGCTGTTCATGTTTGCAGGGCACAATGCAGCATGGGTACAGCTTCTGATCCATCAGAAGATATCTCAGTAGGATTGTTTATCAGCTGCCATATTCATGAGTTCAATAATTGAAATTTAGATGATCTTGGGATGATGCAGAGATCAGCATGCGTGTGGTTTGACTGAAAGGGGGAGGAAGTGGTTTATCCATGGAAAATTACAGTATCCCTAATTTATGTTTTTAAAGATAAAATAAAATAAAGTACACCAAGAAAGTAGGATAACTCAAATGAGTGCAGATTGAATAACAGTCAAGGCTGGATTGTTATGTAATATGCTGGACCAATATACCAAGGATAGTTTAGGAAAAGAGTTCCACCCATCCACAAATAAGTGTGAAACATTGACCCAGACAATTTCTCTGTGTGGTTTTTTTATAAATGGTATTATTGATAGTGAACATATGGATTATTGTTGACAGGTGAAGAAAAGTGTGTTGTTGCTAATTCAAATGCTATAAATGATATGAATGTATCAGCTACTTTTGATGCTCCAAAATATGCAGTGCACAAAGCCACATTCAGAGCATAGGGAGTAAGATCTAGAATTCAGCTGAAATAAATTATTAAAGTTCTCTTATTTTCAGTGAATTTGTTCTGAGTATATTAAGTTTTGATCCAGGCTAATGAAACACTAAATGTAAAAGCGATCCACTTAAGCCAAAATAGACCATCAGTATATTTTACTTCTCTTGCCAGGAGGGATTAAAATTATCAATGAAAGGGTCTATTAATGACAAAAGATGGGTATGATTCAGCAAGAGTGGAGTCTCTGTTTGTCCTAGTTAGGAGGGATTTTCAGCAAGTACCTTCAGTAGAAATCAATAGGAGTTTAGCTGGAATGTGCCCTTTGTTTCTCCGTTGATGTACAAAATTAAAGTATGCAAGCATCCTGTTCTGTTATCAACTCTAGAACTGCATAACCTGTGAAGCATTATTGCTCTTGGGAATATTTGTTCCATTAGGTAGATTGGCTCTTCTATATTTTGTTCCTACTGACGCTGATACACAGAGCAAGTACCCCACAGGAATGAATGGATTTGTGTGTGCCCCTTTCTTTAAAATTGGGGAATAGTTGTCCCTGCTGATAACAAGCTGATATTATGCTGAAGGGGAAAACTCTTAGCTGTTACAAGAGAACATAGCTTTGGGGCACATAGCTTCAAGTGCAGAATGTTTATGTTTTGATTAGTCCCCCTTTTCCCCCCAAAAGAAATCAATTACCATAGGCTTTTTGTAGATTGAAAAGAAACATTTCAGTTACTTTGCTAGGTACCATGTATTAATGATGATTGGATGAAGGAGCTGAGTGAACTAAGGAATCATGTTAAAATTGTAATTGGGTCTGTGCACACAGTGGGCTTGGGTGGGATGAAAGCTGCCTTCCCCATCTCCTGGATATATGTCTGTTGGTGTCAGGTTTGAATAGAGGCTGCTAATGAAGTCTCTAGTGTGTTTTAAATACAAGCCAAATGATAGATGGTATTGTTGTGTGCTGTCAGCTAGCTTCTAATTTATTGCAGCCCTATAGATTAGTGACCTCCATAATCTCTGCTCATAAACAGTTATCTGCTGACCTTGCAGAATCAAGGCTGTGGCTTCATTTATTAACTCAATCCACCTCATATTTGATTTTTTTTCCTGTTGCCTTCTACTTTTCCCAACATGATCGTCTTTTCCAGTGAATCTTGTCTTTTCAGGATGTGCCTGAAATTTGACAGCCTCAGTTTAGCCAGGAAGAAAGCAGTGTTCATTTCATCTAACCCCCCCTTAACACCCCACTTACGTATATGTCTTTTCTTACCGCTCATTGTATCTATGAAACTGTCCTCCAACACCACATTTCAAATGAGTTGATTTTTCCCCCTATCAGCTTTCTTCACTTTCCAGCTTTCACATCTCCACAAGGTATGTAAAGGTAAAGGTAAAGGTTCCCCTTGACAATTTTTGTCCAGTCGTGTTCGACTCTAGGGGGCGTTGCTCATCCCCGTTTCCAAGCCATAGAGCCAGCGTTTTGTCCGAAGACAATCTTCCGTGGTCACATGGCCAGTGCGACTTAGACACGGCACGCTGTTACCTTCCCATTGAGGTGGTCCCTATTTATCTACTCGCATTTGCATGCTTTCGAACCGCTAGATTGGCGGGAGCTGGGACAAGCGACGGGAGCTCCCTCCATCGCGTGGATTCGATCTTACGACTGCTTAGTGTTCTGACCCTGCAGCAAAGGCTTCTGCGGTTTAGCCCACAGCGCCACCATGTCCCACAAGATATGTACCTCACACTAAGTCTAGAATTGATATCTTTTTTTCAATGGTTTTTGGAGCTGTGGGGAATACAATGGAATTGAATTTTTCAAAGTAATTTGTAAGAGAGAGAGAGAGAGAGAGAGAGAGCAGAAAGAGTCAAAGGCAAGCAGATGTTAAAATGTAATGATCCAGTGGATGCCCTTTCCATTTTATCAAGCCACTGAACCAGCACCTTTTATACCATCTTGACAGA